ACCTGAGTGTACGTTTTGTCGATTACTCTGGTGAAAATAATTAGAAAGTAAAATTCTGTTTGGAAACTTACTTTATATTTAGTATTCAAAATAACATGTTAAAGACATGAGATGTCAAAAGTTAGCATATATGAGTATAAAGAGCAAAATTTGGGGTATCCTGCTGGCAGTTGTTGGTTTTTTTTTTTTTTGGTTCTGGTTATCTGCAAAGTATACACCCCTTGTCAGTATAACTAGGGGAGTGCCTGTGTAAACATTCTTGTTTCGCCTGTTCCACATAATCGTTTCTTGTATCATATTTCTTCTGACCTCGCTATCTGAAACCAATTACAGGAGATCCATTTGGGCTGCATCTATTTTCATAAGAAACCTAGGCAGCAGTGTTTTTCTCAGAGATGAATATCAACATCAAATATGCTTCTGAGTGCTTTGTTATTTATGTTTCAGAGAGATTTTGTAGCCTTCAGCTCTCAAGAATGTGTCATGCTGTGCTGTTTATACATTGAAGATATTAATGGGCGTAGATGTCATTTTTCATTTTAATGTCTCAAATGCAACAGGCTTGATAGGTTAAGCATTCCTATTTTTATGGGGAGAGATGTGAGTGATGTCTGTTTTTTCCCAAAATATCCATGTATTTACTTTTTTTGGGGGGAGGGGAAGAAATTTATAAAGTTTAGCATGTTCAACATCATTTTTGTTTTCATTATTTCCAGCCATTTTCATGCAGCTTTCCTTCTAGTTAAAGCTTTTCTTATCTTTCAAGGATAAGAAAGTATTGATCTCATAGTTTACAAAGATTTTAACTCATAATTGATTCTCATAATGTAACATTATTTACTCTATTTTTTGATACATAACTATCAGAACATTATCCCTAATATCTAAAGGATATGTCTTTCTTACAAGTATTCAATTTATGTAAAGTTAAACAGTAACATTAAAACTATTGTTTCAATAAAGTTTTGGAGAAAAAAATGCACTGAATTCTGAAACATATGCCCACACCTCTGAAATTTAACCTTAGTGTACGTTTGTTGTAAAGATATTTATTCATCTTTCCAAAATATTTTAATTTAATCTGAAACCTGATTTTAAGATGGCCTATCTTAATTTTCTTTAGTTTTGCTAAAATTAGATAACTTCATTAAGTAAAGTGCACCCTTAATTCAAAACAAATGTGATTTTGGAAACTAGATATGCCTTAGCTGCCTTAGAAACATTTTTCTTGTTGTTCATGTGAATCAGTTCCAGTCATTATTACGTGATTTTTTGTTTATATTCTGCCTTTTGTTCAGAATTATTTTTTCATAAATTGTGATCATGCAAATATCAGAATGATTCAAAGAGCTTTATAAGTAGCCCTTGAATTTTCCTTTTGTATTTACCAGCTGAAATGGCCAAGTGACTTTCAAAATCAGTTTTATATCATTTGACACCTGACACCTTACACTGATGGAAGTGTGTTATCTTATAATCATTCATCTTTTGAGTAGGTATAATAATAAATTGCTAGTTGAACTGCAATTTAATGTAATGTCTTTCAGCAACTGCTAATTGAAAACCAGTCCTAAAATGTTATCTACAATACTGGATATAAAAATGTCATGTGGTGTCTGCAGTTATAATGCAAACTGCCAAAGATTACTGCTTATGAATTTTAAATCATTACCAATATCTTACCATTGTGTTTTGTTTTCTTACTCTTATGTTTAGCACTTTTTACTACTACCAAATGAATTTTGAAAAGGTTAGTAGCTACTTTTCATAAGAATTCGCATTGAATGATGATCCTTAACTATTTAAAAGGTAGCTACAAGCAAATGAAAGCCAAGGTACTCTAACAGTCAAGACCTGTTAGTTGCCGCTATTTTGTTTCATTCCTTTATACTATTGTTCCTTTAATCATGCAATGCCTTTGTGTAGGGATATTTAATAAGCTGAAGTTCTGGTGGATCAAATTTTCTCATGTCATTTTGTAATCATTATGTGCTACCTAGACCCTTGAGTTAGTTACTTGAACTGAGTGAGTGAATATAATGAAACTTGTGAAAAGAATAGAGTTATAGACTTGAGAAAAAAGAGCGGATTTTTGACTAGACTCTGCTACAGCTTTATTACTTTACTCAACTTTTCATAACACTCATTCTCAGTTACTGTAGAGTGTAAAAGCTAGACTAAAATGTCTCTGTGTCTTTTCCCTGAGCTCTTTTGTAGTTCATTTGGTAATAACTGGAGAAATGATGAGTGTTACAAGTCTTGCACTCTATAGATTTGGGTAGAGTGTATGATAAACTCCAAGTCATTGATGATGGAAGCAGTGAGCCATTTTATATATACAAATATATATATGTATTTATACATATATATATACATATACACACACATATATGAGCTGGAGCGATAGCACAGCAGTAGAGTGTTTGCCTTGCATGCAGCTGGCCCGCTAGAGCCGGGTTTGATTCCTCCGCCCCTCTTGGAGAGCCCGGCAAGCTACTAAGAGTATCTCACCCACACAGCAAAGCCTGGCAAAGTACCAGTGACGTATTCAATATGCCAAACACAGTAACAAGTTTCAAAATGGAGATGTTACTGGGCCCACTAGAACAACGGAAGGATAGTGCAGTGCTATATACATATATACATAAATATATATACATAGATAAAATATATATACATATATGTGTGTACGCACGCATGCTTGTGTACTCTGTAATAGTCATTTAATTCAAACACAGATCCAAACTATGAATATTATGCTATATTTTTTCACATGCTGATAAATTAAGATGCTCCCTCAGATAAAAAGTAACACTTCATTATGGAACCATATGTTCCTTCTTAATAGAATCATTGCCATCTAAATGGTCCTTTGATGAAACAGAGACAGTATAACACACTACAGTGCATTTTGACCTGGATGTCAGGAGACTTTGAACAAGGCATTTGATCATTGTTGATCTGATTTTTCTCATATTTTAAAATGGGAGGACCAAATTGGATCAATTTTGAGATTGCCTTCAGTCCTGGTAGTTCATGATTCCAACCAAGACCCTCAGGTGTTCATATGAATCTATTAACAATGATCAGAAATCACAAAATTTTTCATAAACTAAATCAGTGTGCTTGTTTGTATAGACACACAATAAAGTCACAAATGCAAAAGGGAGAAATAAAGCTATTTAGAAAACAAAGAAAAGTTAATTTAGATTCATTTCATCATAGAGTAAGATATTTGACTGATTTTTTTTTATTTTGAGAGTTTGTTAGGGTCACAACCTATTTTATTCTCGCAGTTTTCATTTAAAAATATCCCTGTTTGATTAGATAAAGACAACTATATCGTTTGAAGTATTGGTTGAAAATTTCAGTGAGTTTTGTGGCAGTAAAATATTCTTGTTAAACTGAACTTTATAATAAGATTGAGTTTACTAGAATGTAAGGTAAGGTAAAGATGTATCATGTTTAAAAATATTTAGGCTGACTTGTGATTACCTGAATAATTAAAAAAACAAAGGGAGAGTGTTGTGAATGAGTGTGTCTCCAAATGTAACGTGTGCTATGGGATCCTTCTCTGGGAAGACAAATCAGTGCTGTTAAGAGATGGTGCTAGTGAATTCAGTTTGTTTACTTTGGTTTCTATGTCTGCCTGCCTTCTCAGAAAACTTGCTTGGAGCCAGACTGTAGCAGCCCTCTCTCTGTCTTTTCATAATTGATCAGGGGATGACTGCCTTCCCTGAGGGTTAAGACGTGGCAACTTTTTCTGTTTGCTCAGCATCTCAATGCAGTAGTTCAAACATTGTTCACACCAGCTGGCAGTGTAATGCCATATGCACATCTTGTCAAAGCAACTGTTGTCATGGATACTAGAAACTCTCTTTAAAAAAAAAACAGATCATTGATTCCAATCAAAATTTTGCTATTTATCAGCTTACAATGTTAATTATTGTGGAATAATATTGACCCAAATATTTTTTTCTCATCATGTAAAATTTATCTTGCATTCTAAATGGAAAAGGGCAGTTTTTCCATGATTTAATTTTAGATGTTGAAAAATTTCATCATTGGTGTTTAGTGAATTCATTTGTTGGAAGGAAAAATTACTTACTAGAGGCTCTCAAAAAGTTTCTTTAAAAAGTACTTTATACTGCTACCTTCAAACAACTCAACATGTATTTTTATTACAGTCATTTTTTTACAAGTTTACACAGCAGTTTCACAAAACTGTCCCTCCTCCAGTAAATGAAATGCTTCCATTAATTTCTTATGTTAAGTTTTTATTTTCCTGAGTGGGATAGAAAACATAAAAATAAATGAAAACATCTTCTATTTTGATTGGTATTCTGTCACACATAGAAACAAACCTGATTGGTTGAGTGGTAATTTCTTTGTTCTCTGATTTTGCTAAGAATGCAAATGAAAACCACTCAATTTTATTTGGCATTAAAACTGCACTTTATTTTGTCAAAGGAGAGATTTCCCCTTGAATTGTAAGTACAAAAAAAAGTGTTTTTAATCTTTAGTGAAAATCCTTATTAATTCACTTTCAAGATAATCTGATGTTGATTTGTCAAATTTAATTACAGCTTCCGGTAACACTTGAAGTCTACTGCTTTTGCTTCAAAATTGTAATATGAAAATGCAAATTGAATGATAATTTAAAAGGGAGTGGGCATTTCAGTTGAACACTCAAAGACAAGTTCCTTGTGGAAATGAGATTATTGATGCAGTTTATGATTTTTTTCCTCTTTAAGCACTTTAAACAAATGAACTTTATTTCCAGCAGGATTACATGCATCTCTGTGATTTTAACTGAAGTTGTATACGTATGGCAGAGTTTTTTTTTAACTTTATAAGGAAAAAAGTAGTGGTTCTATAGAAACGGGACTGGAGGTGCTGGGAAGCAGCCCATATATTGAAGTTTATTACTATTAACCAATAAATAACTGATAATTACTTTTCAACAAAATATTTAGATATGGATCCTTTTTTAATTTTAGGCTTTACAAGCAGCAAGACAACTTCTCTTACAGCAGCAAACAAGTGGATTGAAATCTCCTAAGAGTAGTGATAAACAGAGACCACTACAGGTTAGTAGTGCACCCCTTCCTGGGGTCTTATTTAAAAGCTCTTCATAATGGCAACTGATGTGCAGATCCAATAGCATCTATACAAAACTTCTTTCATGGGCCTTTGTAGGTGATTTTAATACCTTAAAAGATAACTAATTTTATCTTTTGAAAGAAGATATAACTTCTCAGCATAGATTTTAAAAGTTTATAATGTCACTTCTTATAAAAATATTATGCAGGTTATGTAGGCATACAAATTGTATGAAACTCCCTTGTGGGAGTATCAATGGAATTTTATTTATAAACATTATTCTTTGAAAACAGAGTCATTGTAGAATGGTCTTTAAGAAAACAAAGCACTCTTAGTCAACCTTCTGCAGTTGTATCCAAGTGACAAATGCAGAAAATGTACAAGGTTGCCAAAAAAGCTGTTTGAGTTTGCCAAGACGTTATTGCTGTTGCCACAGTTATAAAAACACATTCTGGAGTTTGTTGTCCTTACTGTGTTTGTCCTATGAAACTGATAGTATGTATGTCTTTTAAAGTAACATTTTGTTACATAATACAGCCATTGTTTTATATAGACCCTAACAAATAATATTGGACATTGTGTGGTGGAGAGAAACATTTTCAGCCTGTATTTTAAAAAATGTTTGAAAGGTAGAATTTGGAGTTGAACAGAACAGCTTCCAAATTATTTCTCAGCTCTGTTGAATAATAAGCAATACATATTCCCGAATCGTGTGTCATATACATATCTAATAAGGCAAGCTTATTTTAAATATATGGAAACATCTTTCTTATTGCTTCAACGAAACAGTTTCTTTTATTATGGCCTAGCTGTTTGTTTTAGTTTGCATAGGTACTCCCAGATGTTAGAAACAAAGTCTTGCCTGATGACCTTCTAAAGCTTAGTTTGTATGACATAGAATTATAGGCTACTGATCTACACAGCCCAGAAACTACTTATTACCTAAAGACTAGATAAAATTAGTAGTCCCTAGACAAATTTGAGATGAAGATATATTTTCTTGGAAACACATATTTGAAGGGAGTGGGTACGGATGAGGGGTGGGAAAAGGAGTACTTGGGAAAGGGGAATGTGTTTCAATAGAGACTAAAGTACAAATGCCTTCCATGATTGCAAATGAAAATCATATTGAATCAGCCTGAACTTCAGATTCATTTTAATGGGTTTTTTTTCCTTTGAAACTTAATTTCACTTTCTTTTGCTTTAACTTAGCAATACTTCTGTAGTAACATACTTTCTTCACCCTCATATCCCTCCCAAAGGGAAACAGTGATTGGAGGATTTCCATCTAGATATTTCATGCAAGTAAAGCATCCACGTATTTACAGGGCAGAAAAATATTTGCTTAGGAGTCACAGAAATTAGTCAAATAAATGTTTATCCTCAGGATGAGCTTAGACTGGGAATTTTGTTTTCTTCTTGTTTCAGCAAGTGAGGTTTAGTTGTTGAAGTAGCATTAGCCAAAGGGGAAGAGTTCATTGATTTAAATATCTGAAAACACTACATATTTTCCTAATTGTTTAATCATGTTTCTTGTCAAAATGGACTAAGTGGATATTCCCTCCCCTACAAAGCTAAGTCCAGTATGTTTCCTTTCTTCTGGTTACCAGGGTATCTCTGGAAAGAATGGCTGGGCTTTAGTTTTCCTACTTCTTTTTGTGGTTATACTGGAGGCAAGACATGATAATTTTTCTAGCTTAAATATGTATAAACTTTCCTGGCAAAAACATATATGAAATAGCAATGTTAACAAATCTAAAATAAGACACTATTAATTATATAACAATAAGTTTCAAGAAGTCCCCATTTGTGTTAAAGGGTACTTAAAATTATTTTTTGATTGTTTTTAGAAATTTGAGTTGCTAACCATTACTACAGACTTTCCCTGTGTCACTTATATTTTGTTGGTATCGTTGCTTTTGATTATGTTCATATCCCCATTGTCTAGTTATAAAAGTTGAGAATAGAAGTAGAAATGAAAAGTTTGCTTTTGTGAACAAGAATTTAGAAGTAATGAATGAAGATCTATTTCTTTGCCAAGTAGATATTGCAGGTAATAAATATGTCAGCTATGATTTTTAGTATTTATAGAGCTTGATAAGCTTTACAACTGGAAAGCTTTTGTGAGTAAATTAAAAATCCAATCAAAACAAAATATCATCTTATCCTAGCTTACATATGTCGTCGAGAGAATGTTAGATAATAATCATCCTTGCATTTTCTAGTATTATTTAACAGGAGTTTCACTGTTTGTCACTTATGTTAAAGAAAAAGGTATGTTTTGATATAATTTTAGTAATTTGATATCAAATTAATACCTCATAACTTTTATTAGTCATGGTATAGTTATTTTTCTGCTTTAGGAAGAATTGAAATGTTCTTTCATATTTGGGTTGGTACACGTTATCTTTTTAGAACTCACAGGATCATAGAAAATGTTTAAAGCTGTTCTTGGAAGGCAAAGTGGTATTATAATTTATTAGGAATATAAAACAAAAATACATGTTTTTCACTTTTAAAAATATTTTGATGGGGAACTATTTTATAAAGTTTGGATTAAAGAACGTGTTTGTTTTCTAAAATCTATTTTGATGGCACAAGTCACAAGAACAATATTCAGTTTCTTATAATGCTAAACTGAATTTATTTTAAATGTTAAAAGTGGTGACCAGATTTGAAGTGTGGCATGATAGAAATACTGTTTCTAGACTAGTGTTTATGTATTGTTGCATTTTTGTTTACATTTTAAGGCTTTTGTACTACAGATGGGCATATATATTAGCATATCTAATGCAAAATGGAAGGAAAATAATCAAATATGACATGCTTGAGCACCAGTTGTAGTAGTGATATAACCTAGATATATGTATTTGAAATGTGTTTACATATTCTAGTCAATATGTAGAAGATCAACTGAGTAGGCCGAATCAGTACTATGTTGATTAATGGCATATTGGTTAATAAGACATACATATATGTATATATGGATATATATAAAGATTATAATGTAAATGGCAGTTGATATTAATCTAAGCATTACCATATGTTGCTTCTTTATATTTTTACTATTTATCTCAGAAAAACATATCAATAATAGCAGAAGATTCTCTACATTATTTTTAAAAATTGTTGCTTATATTTACTTAAAACTTCTTCTAGATATGACATAGACTTGGTGATCCATGATGAGGAACAGATAGCCAAGAAGACTATGTAATGTTTGTAATTTCATGAAACTGGATTCCTGATATAACAAGTAAAAGTCACACACATATGCACACATTTGCATATGCAAACATGCACATTTCCATAATCTGTAATTTTAACTTTTTTTGTAAAATACATTATCAATTTTCTAGCCTATGACAAATCTACTTAATTTAGTTTAGGTATGAAATTGGTCGCATTATTGTTCTTGTTACATTTACAGCCATGAGACAGACTTGTGGTTCTTCAACAGCTGTGCAGAGCAGAGACGTAAATTTAAGGTAAATGCCATTGCTTTGCTATCTTAGATGAATATTAGTATATAGCATTGTGATCACTTCCTTCGTTGTAGGTTATTATCTACTCTGAGGTTTTCTTTCACAATAGATAATCAAAATTTTTGTAATTGTCTTAGTTCATTAATATAATAGTAAACAACAAAAGTCAGACTTAGGAATCTGATTCTCACTCTGCCACATATTATAGTAATTTATATTGGAAATAGTCACTGTCTTTAAAAACATTGTGCTAACAAATGTACAGAACATCATATTCTGTGGTTGAATATGTATTCTTAAGTCAGCATAGGTTCTTCATTTTTCAGAAATAGCTGTATCTTTTTTGATACTAGCTATAAGAATTGTGTTTGTTGGTTTGTTTCCATTTCTATTATGAAGCACTTGACTTACATACTGCAGCCAAAAATAATGCTTTGGAATCAAAGAGTTAATTCCTGAGTGTAAGGAAATTATGGAGCAGATATTATTGTGTGCAATGTCCAAGGAAGCTTTGTTTTGCTGATGCCTTGAAAAATTTTACAAATTGGTTTTAATATAAATCAGATTACTATTATACACAGATTATTGTACCCAATATATTTACCCTAATAATCTACATTAAATATATTATGCTCTAATAGAATTGAAAAGGTTTCTGCCTTTCTCCTCTGCTTCACTCCAGAATTTTAAATTACCATTGATAGACAAAACAAGAATTTTGTGGTATCCTCAGGGTCATATATGGTCCTGCAAACTCAACCAGGAGTGATCCCTGAACATATAGCCAGGAATAAGTGCTGAGAACCGCCAGCTGTGGCCCCATAACCAAAATATTAAAAAGGAAAAAACATGGCATTTCTAAAATTTTATATTCTTCATAAAAATCGAAAGAATAGCATAAAATATATAAATAAATATTTACTCTGGGAGAAAATATGTCAGATATAGGTGTTACATGGATAGATATATTAATGGAAATTATAGAGCTTCATGTATTTCTGGATAAATAGTGAAATTATCTATCCCCTTTTCAACATTAATTTCTGATTTCTGGTGTATAAAAATTAAGTGGAAAAATTTTTTCTGATAATATTGGGAAATTTGAAATATAAGTTAAACATTGTTATTTAGGAAACTTAAACAAATTTTAAAAGGTGTTATTTTATTATTTATATTTTACATAAATATGATTACAAAATAAACAGCACAAGCAGCATATTATTTTATATAGTAAGATTTTAAAGAATTTAAGAAATTTTGGGGCAGACTCTGACTGTGCAGTCCTGATATTCCCTTGGGGAAATGTCTTAAAAGGCTTCATAAAATAGGCAGTTTTACAAGAATGTTTCAGAATAAAATCTTTCTTACATATAATGATGTTGCCACCTGTGGCCAGCTGCTCAAGGCTGACACCCTGTGGAGAGGGTCCTAGATTCCATTCGTATTTGCTAGGTGCATATGTGTAGAAAACTTGTACATGAACTACTCATAGGATGGAGGGG